TTTTTTCATAACCTGTAAATATAAGTATATAATGTACCTAACATAATTTTACTAAATAATTATTGTCTACCAAAATTTATAAATTTAAGTTAAAACAAAACTAAAAAAAAATCATTATATGTAACAGATACTTAAACATAAAATAATGTAAACTATACCATATATATACATTTTATATAATAAAATCTTTATTTACTTTTATAAGTAAGAAACTCAGAATTTACCCTCATAACATATCTCATTTTCCTTTCTTCCATTTCTGGTTTTTTTCCTATCATCTTCTAGACTTTGGCATGCGAATAAATTTTGGAGAGATTATATTATCATTTTGTTTAAATTTTGAATTTACAATTGATTGGCCTATTGGCTTGAGCATCTATCTTAAATGTATTTACTCTTTGTGGAAGTGCTTTCTTTTTAAGTAAATAAAGAAAAGAGCTAACCATTCTTTAAAAAAAAAAAAAAAAAAGAGGACCATTTGAACTTTCAACTTCTAAGGTGATTGATGTTTAACTCAAAAGGTGAATTATAAACTTGGAACTTTCCACTTATATTATTGTATCTTATGCAAAAGTAGAGTAACCTTAAAATAATCAATTAGAGTGTTTTGACTATAGCTTCTAATTCAAAACTCAAAAATTAAAATTATGAAATAGAAAACTTGTAAAGTGATTTATGTAAACTTTAAATTTTATTATTATATATTATACAAAAATAGAATAATCTTAAAAATCACAAAAAACTTGGGAAAGAAAAGTAAAAACAAATAAGCACGACTAGAATTATGGTTTTTTCAAATAAATATTTTAATAATTTTATAAATAACTAGAACTTTAGGACATATATTATTTTTTTTTCAAGATCTTAGGGGGTCATGGCCCCCCCTTAGCCCTACTTATCCTTTGTCCTTGATAGTAGCAACCCACTTATATACAAATTTTACATATCACATTTATATAAAATTTTAACCATTTATTTTTTTATTTTCAATTGTTGAAATTTATTTACATTTATTAAAGATAATTACTTTTTTCATGTAACAAGTCATGATAAATCTCAATCATTAAAATTGAAGAAATGAATGGTTAAGATTTTGTATAAGTGTGATATATAAGATTTATGTGAAAGTGTGATATGTAAAATTTATATGAAAATGGATCTCTCTTGATATATATATATATATAGGCTAGTGGTAAAGTTAATTGTTTATATTTTTAACCACAAATTTAAATTTAAATTTAAATTTTTATGATCATATTTGATTGGTAGGAATAGTTATTCATTAGTCAAACTACAAAAATAAAATAAATTTGAAAAACTTTCTTTAGAAGCTAGCAATAATTAAGGTTATTGTTGATGATTTTCTACTAAACTAATAGTGTGTTTGATTATTTGAAGGGGAAGAAAGGGGTAAATTTTTCAACTAATCAAATAATAATGTTTTAAATATAATAATTTAATTAATCAGAAAATAAGTAATGCTACAGGGACTGACGAGTCCTCAAGCCAATTGGTCCCTATAGTTTTTTCCCTGCTTTAAATTTCACTTTTCGGTCATATAATTTTAATTTTCAAATTATTAAACACTTAAATTTTTAAATATTAAACCTTAAATTTAAAAATCTAAACTCTAACATCATAAAAAACTAAACCTAAAAAATCTAAATCCTATATAATAAAATATAGAATTTAAAAAATTTAAATCTTAACAGTTTGAATACTAAATCCTAAAAAATGTAAACGCTAAATTCTAACACCTTAAACACAACACTCTAAACATTTTAAATCCTAACAACATCGGCTTAGATTAGTTTTAACTAAAAAAAAAAAAATTAAAGGGACAAAAATAAAAAAATTTTTTTTTTTATCAGCCAAGGTAAAATAATATTAATAAGGAGTACAAGAGGTACTCCAACCCATAAATACATGCATAGAACTACATATCACAGAGCTATTAGTTTAGTCTCCCCTGATAAGCTAAAACATATGAAATAATCCAAAATGTGAAGTAAGTGGCCTATCGCAAGCACCTTCTAGCCATCCTAATAGCTTGATCAGGGGAAAGAAGCCAAACGTTCTTTAGTAGGTCCGGCCAAAAACAAGCTTTCAACCACAACAAAGATTTAAATTTAATCATCTCTATAATTTTATCTTGCGTGTCAGATTTTTCCATAAATTTAAATTGTTAAAAGTAAGAACTAAATAATAAATTTACTCTAAGAAAAAAAATCTATTGGAACATGTCAAGTTGGCCTTTCGTAGACCTCCTAGGGGTCAATCCCCCTAGCATTTTCCTCAAAAAATCGATT